TTGACACCAAATTTGGGCACAATACACCTATCAGGCCAACAAGTGACCATCACTCATAAAAACACTGAAAACACAGCAGAAGAGACTTAAAAAGCCAAAAAAAAAACCCAAAATACATTACAGGACATGTGCAAAACCACACATATATACACAAACACATATACACACAAATATATATACACACAAAACACATATACACAGACTGTCACAGGGGATGGCTAGTAAAAAATATATCCCCAGTGAAGCAATACTTGTACCAAGACTAACCAAAATGCTGAAATGTTGGTAAGAAAAAGTAAGAGGGTGGGAGAAAAAATAGTATAGTTTGAAAACATTAAGCCAGCTGCTGTGATAGTGAAATCTGAAGCCAAAGTCAGTGGAGAGTGCAAACTGGATGACTGTCTAGGTAGATCGTATTAAGTTATCCCTAGCCCTGTTTTGTGAGATGAGGAATTTGTGTCTATATTCTGTTCTGAAGAGACAAGGCTGGCAATAGCTTTCTGTCACCTTAGGCAAAACATACAGGTTCCTGAGTTAGTGAAGAGCAGGAGCACAAAATGGTCTTTAGATCAGCAAAGCTGGAGATTGAATTTAGGTGATTCATGAGATTTAAAATATCAGCAAGATTAAACTGTAATTATTTTTAAAGGTCGACAGACCTTTAAAAATAATTTAGGTGGTAGAACTATGAATTTGCAATGAATAAAAGAGTATACCATATGTGGAATTCCTATTTTAAATTAGTCTCATTAAGGGAAATTAAATTTGGACAGAGGACTCACCACTATATGTGACACAGTGAAACAACTGCCCAAAGCAGCAAATTATGGGATTCATGAAAGTGTAGCAGGGAGGCCCAGCTTTCCGTCCCGCCATTGTCACAGGCGAGATTGGTGGGGATGAGAGACAGGGCCTTCTCGGTGATTGCTCCCTAACTATGAAACTCCCTTTTTGGTGAGATCAGGTCGGCCCCCTCCCTCCTGTCCTTTAGAAGGATGGCTGTGAGACCAAGCTTTTGGGACAGGGCAATAAAGCAGCAATAGGAAAGATGACCAGGCCAATTAGATTTGAGACAGATGACTAGGACGGTTTTAAATGGTGTATTTTAATATTTTGATAAATGTTTTTTAATGTTTATGTATTGTATGTGAATTTGCGTCCCGGTAATGAATGTTTGCCGTGTATATGCTGGGTCCCCTTCAGGGTGAGAAGGGTGGAATATAAATGTTTAAAATAAATACATAAATAATATTATTAAGTATTTAATTTATTTTGATTCTATTTTAGTGTTAAGATAAGGGGACATTCCCCCCCCCCCCCGCCCACAAACCAGTATGTCTTCTTTATTTTTATTGGCTGTGGTAACTACACAATTAACTGTCCAAGGTATAATCTACCTTCAGATAAAGAATATTTTTAAAATGTGAAATTAGGTAAAACTGAAAAACTCACTTTAAAAAAAGTATTTTGACAAATTCTAATAAAACATTGTCCAAGTATAGAATTGTTCCTGAAAATTTTTGAATATTCATAGTTATATTCCTGCCTAGAAAAAGAGGCAATTTTAGAAATAAATTCTTAAATGACTCTGATAAAAAAACAAAGAGTAAGGAATAAATAAAGGATTACAAAAAGATAAATAGTAGACAGAGGATTTTGGTCTTTTTTTTTCTAGCTTGTCTTCCTCGCTTTGTGTGAAGTCAACCAGAACAACCTTCAAATGTTGTAGCATAGGTCATTTCTTTCAGATCTTCCCTATACTTTTTTCTTTTCTCTAAGGTAATAGGTAGAGAGTAGTGTTTCTGGTTTACTGTGATAATGGGGAAGCTTTTTGGCAAACAGCAAGACATCCATTTCATCCTCTACTGTTCCTTGGAGTACTGAACTTTCACTCATGGATGTCTTGACACCTGAGCAATATTTCTGCCTTTTATGTGGGCCACAGTAAGGTTATGGCCACAGTGAGGTTGTGGCCGGGACAGGTACAGAGAGTGCCAGCCCTGGCCATAATCCCTTGCCCTCTCATAGCAGGAGCATTAGCTTAGATGTTGACACAAATGAAGTCCTTGCCCTTGCTATTTGAGGAAGGATCATTGTGACACAGTTTTGTCCTCTTCATTGCTCTAAGAGAAAGCTTAAATCTTGAATATTCAGGATCAAGATGATGATGATGATGATGATGATTATTATTATTATTATTAGGAGCATTTCTATCCAGTCCTTCTCACCTCCAAAGAGGGACTCAGGACGGCTACTAGCAGGATACACAACATAATATACACTTTACCTACATTAAAAACATTTATAAATACACTATAACAATTCACCACTTCATGTCGTCCTCCAAATCAAGCCATAGCCGTCAGTTCAACTGTCCGTTAAAACCATCTTCAATCCATTACTGTCAGCTAAAAACAGTCTGCTAAAACCATCTATTCTGCGAACGCTTGATCCCATAACCAGGATTTGAGCTTCTTCCATAACTACATGATGGAGGGGCCAGATCTAATCTTATTAGGGAGGGTGTTCCACAGCCGAGGGGCTACCACCAAGAAGGCCGTCTCTTGTTCCCACCAAACGTGACTGTGATTGTGGCAGGACCGAGAGCAGGGTCTCTCCAGACAATCTTAAGGTCCTTGGGGGTTTGTAGAGGGAGATACATTCAGACAGGTAAGCTGGGTCAGAGTCGTTTAGGGTTTTATAGGTCAAGGCCAGCACTTTGAATCATACTCGGAAGCTAATAGGCAGTCAGTAGAGCTGGCGTAACAGGGGAGTTGTATGCTCCTTGTACCTTGCTATGGTGAGCAACCTGGCTGCCGAGCGTTGGACTAGCTGGAGCTTCTGAACAATCTTCAGAGGCAACCCCATAAGTGTGTTTCAGTAATCTATACGGGATGTAACCAGAGCATGGACCACGGTGGCCAAGTCCAACCTCCCAAGATACGGGCGCAGCTGGCGCACAAGATTGTTGTTCCTATTGTGCTATCCTCCTGCCTACTCTGTATTCTTAAATCCAGGAACTTTATTCTCAATCTTTTAGCTTTTACTTAAAGCAATTCTAAGGATAATTTTTCTCTTAACAAGAACGTTTTCCCCAATGCCCCCTTTTTTAGCTTCATTTTAAACAATAAACTTTTAAGTTTTTGGCCTTTTCCTCTCTAACCAGGGTCTTTTTTTAACCCACTTGCAGATTTTGTTCATTTTTATTTCCTGGCGAATTTATTATAAGGAGAAGAAAATAATTTGAGAGATAAGTTGTTTATAACCAAGCATTTCACACACACACAACCCACCAGTGAATATTTTTGTAAATCCCCTAAGGTTAGACTTTCATCAACAGCCCTAGGTTTTCCTTGTGCCTTCTATTCCATGTAAACAAGAGCAGACCTAGCATTTTATTCTATTCCATCCAGAATACCATCTATACTGTTTCCAAAATATTAGAAGTTGGAAAAATACTTACCTTCTATTTTGGGATGTTTTCCCCTTGCCTAAGGACATATAGCCTTCCAAAATGAATGCCTGATGACTTATCTGATCTGTGTATATACTATGGACTCAGATGATACACAAAGTAATGACTAAAGGTGTCAACATTTTCCTGAGGAGTTAGCATTATCACTGAATGATCTTCTACATATTCCATGTTTGGAAAACATGTTTTTCTCTGTGCCGTAAAAATAGTGTTTCTTCTTGATGTTTACAACTAAATATACCTACAAGAACATCGCTGTTTCCCATTACACATCCCTTTAGTTTGCATCTGAACCAGAAATAAAGCATGGGACCATGTAACCACACGTGCCCATTCCACAGAGGTGGTAAATGTGTGGCCCTTTCCTGTTTACAAGCTCCTCCCAGATCACCCTGATTTGATGATGACTGGAAAAGGTCAATTTCTGAAACATCTGAGATCAGCAATCCTCTCGTAACACTGCCCCACCATACCTTGTTTTCACCTCATTGCTCCCTCCTAAATAGGTTTTCTGAGACCTGATGTGAACTTCTGGTTATTTTCTTTTTTGGGAGTGGGAGTTGCTTAATGCAGGTTAAGGGGATGGTAAATTGGTCCCTAGACCTGTAAAGCTTATCCACCCCAATAGAGTACACGTTTCCTTGGATCTTCCTTCACTGTAGGAATTCAGATATATATCTAATTATTTATTTTACTATATTTATATACCGTCCCTCTCAGCCTGCAACTCGGAGGGGTTTACAATTGGTGCCGAGACCATAAAATACAATTTCAATACAATAAAAACAATCAGATAATAAAACCATAACAAAATCAGTAAAAACATAAACATTAGGGTCTCCTATTAAAAACATTGTCCAATCATCATTCAACCATTCCATTTTCCTATGTCTATACACTGTATTTGGAAATGCCGGCTCAAAGAGCCAAGTCTTGACTCTCTTTCGAAATGTTAAAAGGGAGAGGGCCATTCTGATATTTTTAGGGAGGGCGTTCCATAGCCTAGGGGCCACCACTGAGAAGGCCCTGTCTCGTCCCCGCCAGACGTACTTGTGACGAAGGCGGGACCGAGAGTAGGGCCTTTCCAGACGATCTTAAAGTCCTGGAGGGTTCATAAGGGGAGATGCGTTTGGACAGTTAAGTTGGGCCAGAACCATTTGGATAGTCACTTACTTGATTCGTGTCCTGCTTTTTTATGACATTGCCATTATTGTTGTATGGTCAAAGTATTCATTTATCATTTCTCAATCTAGTAAGACTCCCAAAACGATGCAGATAGAATCTATTTTTTAAAAATGTGCACATTTAAAACAATAATGCACGCCTATTTTAAGGACTAAAAACCATATGAAAAGTGTGGTCTTGGCTTCCCACTGGGAACTCAGTAGGGATGGAACTGGTAATTCAGAGTAAGATCCTGCTAAAGAGTCAAAGGCAATAAATGAGATTTTGAGCAGGAAGGAGGAACCTCTTTGATGTTTCATTCTTCAGTTTCTATTGTTCTAACCTATTTGGGATTTTCTAGGTTTGGAGGGGCACGCTAGCACGCCTTCGTTACAAGAAGACCCGAGCCGCCCTCAGGATCCTGAAGTGCTACCGTCGATACAAAGTTAAGTCTTATATCTGCGAAGTTGCCCGGCGATTTCATAATGTCAGATCCATGAAGGATTATGGGAAGCATGTGAGATGGCCCACCCCACCTAAAGTACTGCGGCGGTTTGAAGAGGCCCTCCAGGCAATTTATTTCAGGTAGGAATATATCGCATTCTGTATAATGAGTGATAGAACTGGGTAGATTCCATACAGTATCTGAATGTGTCTCCCCTTACGAACCTTCCAGGAATTTAAGATTATCTGGGGAGGCCCTGCTCCCGATCCCGCCTGTCTCACAGGTGTGCTTGGTGGGGACGAGGGACAGGGCCTTCTCAGTGGTGGCCCCTTGGCTGTAGAACTCCCTTCCTGAGGATATTAGGTTGTCCCCCTCCCTCCTGGCCTTTAGGAAAAGAGTAAAAACCTGGCTCTTCGAGCAAGCTTTTGGAACCTCATTGTAACCAGATAAACTCAGTATTGTGAACAAATATGGAATGGCTTAACGATGCAAATGGACATGGATTTAAACCTGGAAGTCATTGATCTTTATAATTTTAAATTGGTTTTATATGAATTTTCTTATGTGATTTAACCTCTTTTAAACGATGTATTTATGTGTATTCGGCATTTAATTGTTGCCAGTCTGTATGCCGCCCTGAATCACCTTTGGGCTGAAAAGGGCAGGATAAAAGTGTGGTAAACAAAGAAACAAATAAATAACACATTAGATTCTGAAAATGCTAATGTATGTTGCATTAGAAAAGTGTACAGGCTCCATTTCATTATGTGGAAGTCAAGAGGACAAAGCTTGCCTGATTTCTAGTCACGTAATCTCATAGTAATATGATTGGTGCATGTCTTCTGATTTTAATGGAATTTCACATATGAAAATTCTAATTACTATCTGACAGAATACTTACTTAGGCGATCCCTCGTTGGACAAGTAGGATAGTCTTCCATGATCAGTATTCTTGTGGATCCGTAGGTGGCTTTGGACCCCTATTCTTGACCTGCATCTTCTTCCACAGTGAGGGCATTGGTTTCCAGGTGGAAGGTGGTCCTCGGTCGGGGTTGGCTTGATGCGCCTTCCTCTTGGCACGTTTCTCTCTTTCACCCTCCATTCGTGCCTCTTCAAATTCTGCAGCACTGCTGGTCACAGCTGACCTCCAACTGGAGCGCTCAAGGGCCAGGGCTTCCCAGTTCTCAGTGTCTATGCCAGAGTTTTTAAGGTTAGCTTTGAGCCCATCTTTAAATCTCTTTTCCTGTCTACCAACATTCCGTTTTCCATTCTTGAGTTCGCAGTAGAGCAACTGCTTTGGGAGATGGTGATCGGGCATCCGGACAATGTGGCCGGTGGAGGACCATCGCTTCAATGCTGGTGGTCTTTGCTTCTTCCAGCAAGCTGACGTTTGTCCGCTTGTCTTCCCAAGAGATTTTCAGGATTTTCCAGAGGCAGCACTGATGGAATCGTACCAGGAGTTGCATGTGACGTCTGTAGACAGTTCATGTCTTGCAGGCATATAGCAGGGTTGGGAGGATAATAGCTTTATAGACAAGTACCTTGGTATCCCTACGGATGTCTCGGTCCTCAAACACTCTCTGCTTCAATCGGAAAAATGCTGCACTTGCAGAGCTCAGGTGGTGTTGTATTTCGGTGTCAATGTTGACTTTGGTGGAGAGGTGGCTGCCAAGATAGCAGAAATGGTCGACATTTTCTAATGTTACACCATTAAGCTGTATTTCTGGCATTGGAGAGGGGTTGGCTGGTGACTGCTGGAACAGCACTTTGGTTTTCTCGATGTTCAATGACAGGCCGAGCTTCTCATATGCTTCTGACAGAATAACGGTGTGTTCTCAGTTCCCCATTCCAGTTTCCCTCTAGGCTGTTGTCTAATTGCTTCTTGTTGTGTTTTTTTTCTGAGGTGGAAAGCGAATGAACTCATCAAGAGTATCCCACCCAAGGATCTACCTCAAATCAGGGCAAAGGTAGCCGCAGTGGAACTGCTTAAGGGGCACCGGGTTGATATTGGACTCCAAAGAGCCTGGCAGGGCAACTACCTTGCATCGGTAAGTGAAAGAAGTCATATAATTGTAAATACAGTAATTATTTACAAAGGTGACTTTGTTTGGGCATTAGGTTTTTGCATCATTTTGCATGAGGAATGAATGTCATATATGCTTTTTTATTGCTGTTATTATCTGTCATCAAGTCAACTTCAGCTTATGAATGAGAGACCTCCTAGTCACCCTGTTCTCAACAACCGTGCTTAGATCTTGTAGAATCTGGCTTCCTTGGTTGAGTTCATCCACCTGTAGTGTAGCCTTTGTTTTTATAACGTACTAGCTGTCCTCTGCCACGCGTTGTGGCCCAGTCCGGAATTTGGAAAATAAAGTAATGAGAAAGTGTTGGTTTCTAATATATGTAATTCCTTTATGCTTGTGGGTAAACAGTATTTCTTGCTGTTTCTTTGTTAGTGTTGATGTGGAGGTTGTCTGGTTTGCCTACTCTGGAACGTGCAATACAGGTCTCTTTCAAATCTATGATACTATATCTGTGTGTATGTGAATCATATAAATCTATATCTATGGCTGGATGGCTCTTTGTCAGGAGGACTTTGATTGCGTTATCTTGCCCTAGAGAAGGGAGTTGGATTCAATGGCCTTAAGTATTTTCTGTTGGTAATGGGGATTCTGTGTGTGAAGCTTGCCCCAATTCTATCATTGATGGGGTTCAGAGTACTCTTTGATTGTAAGTGGACTATAAATCCCAGTAACTACAACTCCCAAATGTCAAGGTCTATTTCCCTCAAACCCCATCTGTGTTCATATTTGGGCATATGGAATACTCGTGCCAAGTTTGGTCCAGATCCATCATTGTTTGAGTCCACAGTGCTCTCTGGATGTAGGTGAACTACAACTCCCAAACTCAAGGGCAATGCCAACCAAATTAGTGTTCTAGTGTTTTCTGTTTGTCATTTGAGTTTTGTGTGCCAAGATTGGTTCAATTCCATCATTGATGGAGTTCAGAAGGTTCTTTGATTGTAGGTGAACTATAAATCCTAGCAACTACAACTCCCAAGTGACAAAATCAATTTTTTGAGTGATGGTCACTCCGTGGGTTAGTAAGTGTCTTGTGCCCAAATTTGGTGTCAATTTGTCCAGTGGTTTTTGAGTTATGTTCATCCCACAAACGAACATTACATTTTTATTTATATAGATAACAAAATAAACTTTTATGTATTACTTACTTGTGTTTCCATTTTTGGAGCTTCAGAAACTATTATCAGGCCTTTCAGTTTGCCACCTTAGTTGGAAGCTTATGGAACTCTTTGTCTAGCTTTTGAAAGCTGATGGCTCTGGGTCTAGTATATTCTGCCCTTCCCATTTCTATTTAATTTTTTTCCATTTCTATTTAAGAAACACCATTTTAAAAAGCAAAGACCAGGTTGGCCTGTAATATGAAGGGCATCAACTTAAGTCAAATGTTTATTTGGGACTCTTTCAGCTGTCAAACCTTGAATAGTAAAGTTGCGGTGGCTCTTAATTTAACAATGAAGACAAATTGCTCAACTCCCTGTTTGTTCTTTTAGACTCCAGAAAACCCTCAGGCTGCGAGCTCATTTGTCCCCGTTACCTTTGAGTTGCAACGAAAGGACAAGTTTATGAATGTTCTTTTCTCATCTCACGTTCGCAAGGTAAGCAAAGAAAGCAACTGTTGAAAGATGAGAAAGGTTTCCAGCAAGTGAAGCAATAGTGATATGAAGGGAGAGGAGGACCAGGCTTTGAAGGGGAAGAAGGGAAAATACAGTTGAAACTCAAGAAAAAGAAATTTTAAATGAACACTAAAATATGCAATATGCTCCAAAGAGAAAAGAACCGAGGAAAAGTTGGCAAAATGGATAAGGACCAGCACTCAAACTTGTACATGAATAAAACACAGCCTAAATTGGGAATTGGAAATTTGCATATATTTTCATTCAGTCTTTGTAACACTTTGGGGACTGCTGCTTTAAGCAAGTGAGGTTGATAATGCAGTGCACTTTACCTTGAAAAATAAAGAGCAGATCTGTTCTGTAACCTTTTTTCTCAGAGGTCTTTCTCTAGTTCCATGTCTTTTGGATATTATTATTTGAAATACAACAAGATGAGTCCACAGCAGACACTCTGTTGGCTGATGTATTGGATCACACGTTGGAGACTTCCCAAGTGTCTATGACTGTGTGATGTATCAGCGAATAATGCTTGCAGATCCCAGTAAGGTGGCCTTCTGCACCTGCAGAAGTTTAAATAGACCTTTGACCATTTCTAGTTGTTGGTTTTTTCTGGAGAAGTGGATGGGTGGTGGTGATGCATGTTGGAGCATGTGGTGGGTTCCTATATCAGAAGCTGGAGTTTCTCTATCCCTGCCCAAGAGGATCATTTTCTCATTTTGAAAGTCCTATTAGATCTATTGTTGAAGGCTTTCATGGCCGGAATCACTGGGTTTTTGTAGGTTTTTCAGGGTTTGTTTGTTTGTTTTTGTCGTGTCAGGAGTGACTTGAGAAACTGCAAGTCGCTTCTCGTGTGAGAGAATTGGCCGTCTGCAAGGACGTTGCCCAGGGGACGCTCGGATATTTTTATGTTTTGCCATCCTTGTGGGAGGCTTCTCTCATGTCCCCGCATGTGGAGCCAGAGCTGACAGAGGGAGCTCATCCACACTCTCCCAGGATTCGAACCTGCAACATGTTGGTCTTCAGTCCTGCCGGCACAGGGGTTTAACCCACTGCGCCACTGGGGGCTCCAGGTGATGTCACAACTTCTGAGGATGCCTGCCATAGATGCAGGCAAAATGTCAGGAGAGAATGCTTCTAGAACCTTGGGAAGTCTGATCTGGCCACAGTGGTCCATGCTCTCGTTACATCCCGAATAGATTACTGCAACACACTCTACGTGGGGTTGCCTTTGAAGACAGTTTGGAAACTTCAATTAGTCAGGCGGGCGGCAGCTAGATTACTCACCAGAGCATCATACAGGGAGCATACCACCCCTCTGTTATGTCTGCTCCACTGGCTGCCGATCCAATTCTGAGCACAATTCAAAGTGCTGGTTTTGACCTACAAAACCCTATACGGTTCCGGCCCAGCGTATCTGTCCGAACGCATCTCCTTCTACATCCCGCCTCGGAGTTTAAGATCTGGGGAGGCACTGCTCTCGACCCCACCTCTATCACAAGTGAGATTGGTGGGGACGAGGAGCAGGGCCTTCTCGGTGGTGGCCCCTCACCTGTGGAACTCACTCCCCGGGGAAATTAGGTCATGGACATCCCTCCTCTCCTTTAGAAGGAAATTAAAAACATGGATTTGGGACCAGGCCTTCAGGTAATCTGGCGGATAGATAAGGCACAAGCGACGACTAGAATTGATGGATTGGACAATGTGGAATTTGAATTTACGGACTCTGCGCTGATAAACGTTGAGCACCTGATTGTTTTTAGGGATTGTGATGTATAATATATTGTTTTAATTGTTTTAATTACTGTTTATATGTTTTATTTTTTTCCGTGTTGTTGTGCCGGCATCAAATTGGGCCTTTTTGTAAGCCGCCCTGAGTCCCCCCTCGGGGGTTGAGAAGGGCGGGGTAGAAGTGCGAGAAATAATAAATAATAGAACATGGCCATACAGCCTGAAAAACCTACAACAACCCGCTATTAGATCTGTCCTTGTAGAAGAATACTAGCATAGTTTCATTTGGGATGCTGCCCTACTTTATACCTTCAGTAGTTTTTTCTTCATTTTGTCTCCCATTTGTTCTGCATAGGCTTGCTTTTCCAGTCCCCCATTATTCTCTTTGCTCATTTTCACTCTAATATATTCTTCTTCCTTTGCTGAGCTCACTCCTTCTTTCTTTCCATCGATCCCAAAGTCATTCCCTAATTGCCATAGCTGTTTTTTTCACGGGGAGAGTGTAGGTTGCATTGTCCATTAAGTAATTCCATTGAATCCTTGATTCAACTTCATCAGGTTTTGCCCTTGCCCTTTACATTTGCCCTCTTCTTGTAAGCAAGAGGCACTTAATGCTTTGAAAATACATAAAGAGCAAATAGCCAGCATGTTTTCCTGAAATACACGGTGGATACTGGACATGCAATTGATTCCAGTGCATGTTTTGTTTGTTTGTTTGTTTGTTTATGACATTTATATGCTGCCATTCTCACCCCGAAGGGGACTCAGAGTGGTTTACAAATTATATTTGCATTCTGTTGCATTTCTCAGGGATCAGTCTCTGTTCTGGGCACTTGATACCTTTTGGGAAATGTTACTCTGGTGTTTTTATGACAAGTAGAATTGTTTCCTAAAGTATAAAGCAGTTTTGAGACAATAGGAATATCATTCCTTTTTTGTTTTGAACAGCACACACATATATATGGCCTTAAGTAGAAATTTAGTAAAAAAGCATATTCCGGCTCAGGAGAATGGTGAAATAAAAGTTAAGCTACACCATTCATTCCAAGTGGCAAAGGAGTGTGGAGAAATAATTCCCTGAAATGTGATATCAGAGTCTTTGTTCCTACAGCCCTTAGGCAGAACCGGTTGGGACTTTCCCTTGGTGTTGATAGTGCTGGATGTTCTTGTGCTCATACAGCCCGAGCTTGGCATGTGTGAAACGCCAGTAGCTTCGGGCAAAAGCAAAATAAATCTTGGACAATAATACCAGTAAAAATCTTGAGCAAAATCCTCTAGGAAAACATTGAATCAGATTTGATAGTGCTAGGAAAGAACAAGAGTTTCTGTACAAGGTAGGGGTCCTCAACCCTTTTAAGCCATTCACTGAGTATCGTTTGAGGGGGGAAATGAACAAATTCCTATGCACGCTGCACATATTTTATTTGCACTGCAAAAAATGAATAAAAGAAAAATACAATATTTAAAGTGAAGAACAATTTTAACCAACACAAACTCACCAGTATTTCAGTGGGAAGTATGAGCCTGCTTTTGACTGATGAGATAGTCAAGTTTATCCGTTTGTTGTTGTTGTTGTTGTTGTTGTTGTTGTTGTGTGCCTTCAGGTTATTTCACACAGGGTGAACCTAAGTTTAAAGTTTAGGGTAGATGGTGGGATAAATGACTTTTGGAGGACCCCTGGTATAAAGTCTCTAGTCCCACGTATAGTTTGACCCCAGTTTACCTGTCTGAATGTATTCTCCCCTATGAACCATCAAGGTAGCTAAGATCTTCTGGAGGGGCCCTGCTCTCGGTCCCAGCACTTTCGCAGTTGCGTCTAGTGGGAACGAGAGACAGGGCCTTCTCTGTGGTGGCCCCCAGCTATGGAACTCCTCCCAAATGAAATTAGATCTCCCCCCTCTCTCCTGACCTTTAGGAAGCTAATGAAATCATGGCTATGGAACGAGGCGTTCCCAGAATGATGGCTGAGATCGGCAATTGACCAGAGTTATTGACCACATGATGCAGATTGAGTTGGACATGATTTTATCTTGGCGAATTGGCTTATATGTATTTTATCCTATATTTATTTTTAATTCATCCTCCTATGAACCAGCTAGGACGTTAAGATCGTCTGGGGAGGCCCTGCTCTCGATCCCGCCTGCATCACAAGTATGTTTGGCAGAGACGAGAGACAGGGCCTTCTCAGTGGTGGCCCCTCGCCTGTGTAATGACCTTCCTACAGAAATTAGATTGCCCCCCTCCCTGTTAGCATTTCGGAGGAAAGTGGAGACCTGGTTGTTCGAGCAGGCATTTGAATAGGCAGTGTAATGAATATAGGAGTGTGGAACAATTGGATGACAAGACTGGATCTTGATTTTAACTATGAGACGATATGAGATGTTATATGATGTTTAATTTATTGTTATAATGCTATTGTTTTAATTGTTTTTAACTGTTTTGTGATTTTTTAAGCATTGAATTTTGCTATTGTGAACTGCTCTGAATCGCCCGAGGGCTGAGAAGAGCGGTATACAAATATAGTAAATAAATAAAATAAGTAAGTGTTTGTTGTTAGATTGTTTTGATATTTTAGATTGTACTGTTAGCACTGAATCCTTGCTGTTAGCCGGTCTGAGTCCCTCTACAGAGGTAGAGAAGATTGGGATATAAAAGTTTTAAATAATTAATAAGTGATTTGAGACCCTATTTGTATACATGAATTACCTCCTGAACTATCAGCTTTGTGTGTCTAAATTTATCATATTTGTACAAATGGCTGTTTTGCCCCATGAGCATTTGACTTTTAATCACAGGTTCTTGGGATAATACCCACTTCTTATCCTTTTCCTTGATGATGTCCAGCCCTTTCCACCAGGTTTCTGCAAACCAATTGCCAAAATTTGAAACCTTATTTAGTATGCTCACTAAGAGCTTATATTGCTGAACAAAGGCATGCTCTAGTCTTGCCCTTATGACTGTGAACTGATAACAAGGCAGGCCTTCTTTGAAAAGAGAGTCTTGCCAACCTGACTGTCCCTTCCAACTCATGCAGCTGCTTTTAACATACTGTATTTCTTAAACCAATCTCTCTGCCCAATTAATAGCCTCCAACCAAGTCTGCTGGCTGGGCAAGACCCCTGTTTGAATGAGATGCTTCTCTCTCTTTAAATAGAAGGCTCATTGTCTTAGGGCCCCAGGGCAGAGGTAGCTGTGGAAGGAGTAATGCCAGAGAGCCAAAATAGTATTAACCTGCTCTATATCAAATTGGCAGT